ATAGACTCAAAACTCTAGGTATTATAGCTCCATATTATACGCGTAACAATATCAGCCCAACGATTATAATTTTTAATTGATTGGCATTTAAAAACAATATAATATCGTAATGTATTATTAATTAATTGTTATTTTTTTAATGTACCCTAAAGCCATTTGATGTGTTATGACTTGCAAAGTACCTATCGATAAGTAATATTTCATTGAACGAAATTGTTGAATAACTATGCGAAATATTATGAAAAGTATAAGTTATGTGTAACAACCAGTGGTAAAAGTGGTCCAAAATAAGTGGAGGGACGGCTTAAATAATTTATAAAGTTCTCATATACCTACTGCTTAAACTGTTGTTCCATATGAGTGAAGAGATGAGAAATGTGAATTGCAAAAAGTAAAATGGTGCCCCCCCCCTCTTCGACCAATTGTATCAATTGAAAAGTAGTTTTCATTAGCTTTTACTGAATTTAATTGCTTTATAAGTGTTTAGAAAACTAAAAATTGGGTAATTTTAATTAATGTGATGATAATTTTGGACTTTATACATTATTTATAAAAAATTGATTATTGTATATGGTATTTAATTTTGTCTGGCAATACATTTTATTTGAAACTGACTAGTAAGTAATAAAGAAGTGAAGACAATTTTAAATTGGCGTTATAAAATGACTACCCATTTTTGTGTGGTTAATAATACCTAACGCATAAGACAAATAACCCAAAGTTAATTTTTGGTGAAAAATAATCGGTTGATTCCGCAAAAAATGTGTTAAGAACTTAGAGTTTTAATTTTATTGAACGATGTTTGATAATTTGCAAAGACAAGTTTGTTACGTAATTATTTATTAAAATAATCTTATAAGATAATTTCATTTTTTTTTTTCATCTACTAAAGTAAATTCAGTTTTTTTATGATGTTGCATTGTTTATAATTTTTGATTATTGAAATACAGTTATAATATATAAGCTGTACGTACCTATTTATATTGTATACTCATCCTTAATAATATTCAGCTTTTATATTGTCGTAAATATGTTTAATTTTTACTTTCTATTTCATTTTATACAATTTGGATTCACATTTTTAAAATATAATATATCATAATTCATAGCAAGTTTAATACGTTTATAATATTGTTTATGAGGTACGAAGTAATTTTAAAGATTTATAGCGCTGCATATATTTTTTTTTTTTGTATAAAAGTATTGTATTTATATTAACAAAATAAATTAATATTTTGGCATATAAACGTTAACACTGAAAAATTAGTACTAAAAACTTTCTTTTTTTGTGTTTGTTTTAAATGGTTAAAAGGGAAGACATTATTTTTGATAGCCCACAATTTATCACTTAAAAAGTAATATTTTAATGAGATATAAAACACCCTTCTCTGTATCATATCCAAACAATTAATTGTCAAGTAAAAAAAGATACAAAATCTAAAAGTTTCATTGTAAAAGTGTAGAGTAAAGTGAATAAAATTATTATAATTTAGAAAAACTGTAAACGTTTGTTTAATTATAGTAGTATACACAATCCGAGTCTATTTTATTTAACAAAAAAAAAATATTAAATTAAATTAATACATTAATTATTTTGCATACGAATGAAAATATTTTAAAACGTTAATTTTTTATATTATGTTAAGACTTATTTAAAATATTTAAATTTATGGTTATTTAATAACAATGTTTATTTAACAATTAATGTGGTGGCAATAGTTAAATTATTGAGTTTATTGTTTGGACGTAGTTTATCTCCTATACTTAGCTAATGTGAAACGCGAGTGAATGAATAGTTTATAGTTGACTAGAAACGTTTCAAGCGTAATTAAAAGGGGAAAAACTGTGAATAATATCTATGTGCAACTTGCTGCAAGTTTGGGAATTTATGTACCTACGTACATTTTGAGGTTAATTAGTAACCTCGATTTATGTATTTGCCATGCGGAGCACGCAAGTCGACTTATTAAAATTTGTTGTTAGTTTTTTTAAATTTTTAATCGTGATGGTTACAACAAGTTGAAGTTAGTTGCGTGATTAAATATAAATAATGGAGTTAAATTTGATTCTTGTACTCAACGAAAGTGTCTCTGATTAAAATATTATCTGTTAGGTAACTTAAAGTACAAAAATTAAATTATCTCAAATATAGTTACTTATACAAAACTTTAAAAAACAAATAAGTAATGATAAACCTATACAGCTATAATGTTAAAAAAGTTTCTAAATATTGTTTTATTGCAAATATTAAGTTATTATTGACGAATATAAAAAAATATAACTTGTTATTTAAAAAAAAATGTTAGTAATATGATATTTCCGATATCTTAGGAAGGTATACACAGGATATAAATAATTATTAAATATGTATTGATCAAGAGTTCAAATAGTTTGTGAATATACAAAGTGATTTACTAAACTTGTTCAGTTTTCACCTTTTTCCTTTGACAATGCACTTTTTAAAATTCTGATTTTCGTTTGAATTGTTAAGCTTAAGGGGCATATTTTTAATTACCTAGATTTTTTTACTATATGAGTCCAGCGGTGGTACAAACTTCTGTTTTTTAAATGAGGACCTTATTTTTTTAAAATGAATTGTCAAGTAGATAATTTTTTTGAAAATGTTGATTTAACATCTTAATCAAAATTTGAAAAATGAGTGTCTGAGTTATAAAAATATATTTTATGGTAAGGAATAATGATAGCTAATACCTAGTCTTTATAATGGTTTTATAAAAATTATATAAATACATCGGATAGTTATATTTTAGAATTTTAATCAATGTCAACTTAAAGAAATAATAATAATCTATTTATACTGCAACAATTATTTGTTAATTATATTATTTTATGGTTAAAAAAACATAATTTCAATTTTTTTTAGTAATAAAATTGGTGATCAGTTTTGTATTATTGATTGATTTATTTATTTTTATCGATGTTATACATTGATCCCTAGTTGAATATCAATTATTTAAGCAATTTAAAACTGGAAGTTTTATCAATGCATTTAATATTTATCATTTGAACCTTGTTAAATAAAATGTATACTCACACCAATCACACTTGTGTATAAGATATTCGGTAATTGTAAATGTTACCAAAAACTCTCGGCACTTTATAATTAGAAAAAAACTCAGTATACTGCTTAAAAATAAACAAATTATTTAAAAACCAATAACTCTAGCTGTGGGGTATCAAAAATGTAGATGCATTTATTATTTATAATTTCCACTTTAGCAAAAGTAGAACACACAAACTATTCTATAAAAATATATATAATATACTGCACGAGTACACCCATAAGTATATATGGTATAACGAACCCGTAAATGTATTTTTAACACCAAAGCTAAGTAGTTTAGATGATATTAACTGCTTTTTTAGGGCACAAAGGATTCCGGAGAGTCATTCTACTCGTATATGATACAACAAAAAACCTATACCTATAATACGCCAATAAATTACATTGTTATACCTATACAAGATATATGTTTGCCGTTACCCTTCGATAACACGGAATATAATAATTATTATCCTATTCCGTGTTATTTAAATTATTTGAATTTCATGTATGTTAGAAAACATTTACCATCGGTTTCTGCTGATATTCCAGGCAACTTTGAGTGCTGTATCGTTAAAATCGGTGGCTGTTCGCTAATGAAACAACTCAACAAGTTTCATGAAATGTTTTGTTTGTTTTCATTTGCCTCACGGTTTTAACTAACACAATTACTCAGAATTGGAAATGTCCAATCATTAAACGAGCTCCATTAGTCTTGGCATTCTATAGGCGGCAATGTCTTAGGGAATATGGTGTGAATATAATAATCATAATTCGATGAATGATTGCTCGCAAAACTGAATATGTTGTAAAACAAGAGTACAAGACTATTTTAATGAACATGTAGAAACTATTCGGTATAGGAAGAGTAGGTAAATGTAAGTATGTGGTAGCTACTTATTTGTCTGATAAAATTTCATCACCTGCACTTTCATGCCATTGGTAGTCTTCATATATATTTAAGACCATAGATTGTCACATATTTAATAGATGAACAATGGACTTGATAAACAATACACTTCTTAGGGTATAAAGATTTTGGTTTTTTAAACGACAAGTTTTAAGTCACAGTTATCTTCGTATAACAAATTTGATTACTGCAAACAATATCTGAGTGGGGGTAAACACTCTATATTTCTCACAAAGTATAATAAATTTTAAATTTTAGATGTTGTCTAATTTTTAATAGTTAGAATTTCTATAATTAAGTAAGGCTTTAATGCAGGGGGTTTCCACTCACGGCCATTAAAGTGGCCGTGGTGTTTATTGTCTTTATTTCGTGAACACATTTCAAGGAAAGAATGTATTATTTAATACATTTTTTATCATTTAATATAAGTTTTTATTATGAATGCGGCTCTCAAGGTTTTAAAAAAGTAATATGTGAGCCAATACCGAAAACAGTTGAAGACCTTTAATTTAATGTTTAAGTGTACAGTAACATTTTTCGTTTTTATACTAGTTATTCTTGGTTATTTCTATCATGGGTGGCAATATGATTATGAGAATATCAACCCATAATTTATAACTTTGAATAAATAAAAATGAGATCATAATTTTATTTTTCTCCAATAATTCACAACTGGTATAGGTACCGATAATACTTACAACGATTGACAAACACGGCAACACAATATTTTTACTTTGATGACGGTAAACAAAATTAATTACATTTTTTTCGACAATGTAAACAAACCAATGTGTTTCACTTATGACATAATAATAATATAACGTTATTAAAGCACTCTGCAGAGGTAGACTGCAAACTCGGGACATCCTGTCATTGTCGATACAATCATGCTATCTATCGGTGGTACTATCGGCACGATAGTTATAAATAAAATAGGAGATTGTATAAATTTATTTAATTTTTCTCTCTCATGATGTCATGGAAAAGTAAGGTGGCGTCACAGAGCGTTTCACGAATTTTCCCTCGTATACCCACCATAAATGAGTTACACTTCAATAAATTACTTGCCTTCTAATTGATATAAGTTTTTTTTTTTACACAAAATTCGTGTTAAATTAAAAATTAAGACTTCTCCGTAGGTACGATTATTGTTATGTTATTCGTAATTTGTGTTGAAAAGAAATCTCTATATTATATATCCAACTGGCCATTCTGTTTCCGGTAAGTACTAAGTTGTATATTAGTGTATATTTAATAATAGTAATAATACATGTTAATGTTACTGTAAGTTGTAAGCCGTTAAATGTTTTATTTTATCATCACTTTTATATTATGTGAATGTGTAACGTTTGTTGCATTTTGGTATAGTCATTATGATCTTAATAATCGACTTAATATCTAATGTACCACACTTGTATAAGTACATCTTAAATAGTTTTATGTATTTTATAATGATAACTTAGTTCTTATTTTGTTTAAATGTTTGTGTTTATTCCAGGTTAGGTTATATATATTTTGATTAAAATCATCAATTTTTATATAACCTATTTACGTAACATAATTAAAACTTAAATAAATAACAGTACATCGTTATTAATTCATTTTTTTAAACCCTCGAAACGACGAAACACATAATATATATGCATATTATATGTTCTCAAATAATATTACAAATTTTTCCACTTTTAGTATAACCTCGATTTTAAAATATACAGATAATGTCATATGAAAGTTTGGTTACATATTCCTATATAATTTGATTGGTATATTGTAAAATCAATAAAGTTTGAGTCTATCAATACATTTTTTGAAACTAACCTATGGTTAGTAATATGAAAGGTTTTTTTTTTATTCGAAAAACTATAGACATTTTTGAAAAAAAGCTCTACTACACTGAGTTTACACAATATTAAGCCATTACAAAACAACATTCATGAACAATTTTTTTAATTTTTATGGTTATAATTTAATCATGGAGGAGTAGTTAATTAATTATAAATTATAAGTTGTAAGTTATAACTAACCATCTAATCGTCCAAAACTCTGAAATAATTGAAATACTTAGAGTAATATTCTGCTTCAGAATATAAAATTGAACATGATTGTTATCATTCAGTAAAATAAAAACTTAAAAACATTTACTATAAAAAATAATAAAAAATATAATAATCCTGAACATTTTTGTCTTGTAACTATTTAAGTTAATGTAAAAATTTTTTTTAAAAAGGTTAATAGTTTTTGAAATAGTGAGTGTCTTACGTAAAATGCCTCATCTAGTATAGATTATTATTTTTTTTAATAATACGGTACTCCATTGATTTTGCGTATTTATTTAAATATTATTTATCAGCATCGGAACACTTCAAACTGATCTAAAAATTATGTTCGTGTTTTGTATTAAGTGTTTTTATAGTAAATTTATCTTTTGACGAATAACATTAGGCTTTTATGTTTGAAACCAATGGGAAATTTTCAATTATACTAAACGAACAATTTACAGTAGTTTATGAGTAACTAATTGATAGCATTAAAAAAATGATATGTTGTGTACCACCTATATGATATCAGGATACAAATAATAAAAATAAATCATATATATTTATTTTAATTGTTTTTATACTAGTATTGTTATACCTGCAACTTATGCATTGATTCTATAAAAATAATAATACAATTACAAATATCCTGTTTCGTCACACAGAATACACCCATTTTACGAAATTGTATGTACTTTAGAGGACCTACTACTATTTCGAGTGTAAAAATTCAATGATGTGTGCGAACTCAGTTTATGCTTATTGCTCACAATAGAATGAACAATAAATATATAATTAATTTAATATACAATTATGTATTATGTATATAAAGTGGTACTTTATCTTTGATGTAGTTTTAATTTTTTTTCATATAAATGTATTTGAAATAATTTGTTTCTTTTTTTGTTAAAATTGTATAACAATTATAACGTTTTTAATTGTTATATTTTATTTCATTACTATGTCACAACCAATATGTAATATAATACGTACCCATTAAAAAATATAAATTATTTTAATCAGTAGATTTTTCTAAAAAATGACTGATTTAAAAGTGTAACTTTCTGTTAAAAATCTTTCGCAGAAAGTGTAATTCTTTCAAAATAGATGGAAGTCATTAAGCATCAACTAAATATATCATACCTACATAATACCTATTATTTGTATAGCCGTATATTATGTTATAAAGGTACCATCCTACATTACGAATGCTAGTCAAACAAACACCGCGTATTCAGTTTTACTATAAGTTTAATAATATCAATATTATCCTCCTGGGATTAAAGCTATTAAGCTTTGTTTTATTCATTAAAACATATTATACATATTCAATTTGCACACCAGTAAAACTAGGTAGGTATATGCTTTATAAAATATGCATAATTTATTACATAATATGCATTTGGTATTTTTTCAATATAATAATTAATAATAATACTCTAAATTAATTTTTTTTTTAGAATGTACGATTCTAATTTAAAGTATTCAAATTTCTACTGGATACACATTTTGTAGTATTGTACACTGGCCATGAGGAAATAATTATATTATGCTTGCCATTTATTAATATTTATTTTTGTATTCACTGTCAGAGTAATTGAATATTATCATGCATTAGTTTATAAATAATTTTTTTTATTTTTAACCTCTTTTTATTTGATAAAAAAATTGTATTTAAAAACTTAAGTTTAGGTACATTGCTATAAGAGCAGAATAAATATTGCATTTTTTTTGGTTCAATAGGAAAACAAATCTATTCTTAGTGCAATTTTAAAACTTTTTTTCAGTTTTTTATTGATTTATAGTGATGTTTTCATAACTTTACAACATCCAATTTCTTCTTATGGTTTCCCATATAGGCTGTTTCATTATAAAACAATTTTATCCGAGTTTTTTCGACAACAATAGTTTGTCTAATGTTAAATTTATTAGTTAAATAAATTGCCATTATTTTTTTTTTTACGGAATTTAAAATGTTTATTTTTCAATTTATTTTGAATAAAAAAATAACGATAAAACGACTATAAGTTTGTGTTTGTTCTAATATAATATACATATATATTATATATATTATACACACACACACATATGATACGTACAGTATAAAATGTCATTGTTATATTCAAAGACATTATGTGTAACATATATACATATATATGTATTTAGTATAGTAGAAATATATTTTTTAAAAATCCACAAGTCTGAAACAGTAAGAAAAAATTATGATATTTTTATTTTTCTGTACCATAGACACGTACACACGTTTCAACTAGTATTGCAGTTAACATCCTTATTGTCGCTATACATAAATATAATTATATATATATATATTTTCGTTTTTATAATGTAACTTTTATAGCAGATAGCGCAGTATGCGCGACGCAATGAAATGGATCCGCACTTATACACGTATAAAGCGGGTATAATAAATTCGGTTTGCACATTTTGGTCTTTACATTAGAAAACGAAAAAGTGTGTACATAAAAGGGTTATCCATCAAGGAAACGCCACCGGGGTGGCAGCCATTCGCTTCGAATGCAGCGGATATGGGGCAAACACGGTGTGGATCTTTTGTTTTTGTTTATTTATTTTTCTGTTCTTTTTCTCGTCCTTGGATTACTACTTCGACCCGAAAACACACACACAAGCACCCTTGTGCGCGAAAAGCGAAGTGATATCATGACACGGTGTCTCCCCGACCTCTGTCAAACGGAAACTACATCCGGATAGCGCTTTTGCTCTATTTTATTTCTCACCCACAACATTCCACTAATTATATAATTTATGTTATTATACTGTAAAATATGGTCCATCGCTACACTTGGATGTGGTATTTACAAGTTGATTTACTTATACTATTGCAAGTAACACTAGTTTTTCGGTCAAATTTTGATATTTAATAAACAAATGTACTATGTATTAAGCTTATTGTATAAGCGCATTTTGTATTTCCTACGTAATTTGAAGTATATATTGAAATATTTGATTTAAATTGAAATTTATAATTTTAATTTCAAATTACAATTACAATTATAAAAAATAACCAATAATCATTCTAATAATTTTAGTTTATAATATTCAAATACTTAACAAATAGTTTTTTTTTTAATAAGCTTTTAAGTTAAACAAGTGGAGTAAATTTCTTACCAGCTCGCCACTACTTTTATCATTTAAACTTAAAATACTAAAAAATAAAAAAAGTGAACTTTCAATATTTAAAGTAAAAGCTTATTGTGTACAACCGATAAGTTTAAAATTTAATGAAGATGTTGTGCTTCAAATAATACAATTATTGCGATAGCAATTATCTTTAAAAAACATAAAATCCCTAAAAAATATTATTTTTTTCCAATATACTTCTAACTATGTAAAAACAAACAAGTCCCAAACAATGAGTGTTCACTGTCAAAGGATTCACCTTGTACATATTATAATATAGAGTCAATGAACACCGATGTAATTAAAATTAATTATCGCATGTACCTATTATATATAATGTTCATTTTATTACATATATGTACGTCCGACGTCTGTCTATGCTCGACGCATAGTTTGGGAGCGCGTGTTACTTATTAATTCTCATTTCTGTTGTCATCATAATTTTCTCTTTGAAACCGTTTCCACAGAAATCATTCTTAATCCAGTTTTCTGACACAATGGGTGCAGTATTAATATTAATTGTAATAATAATAATAATAATAATAATAATAGTACCTAATATAATAAATTATTTTAGTACCTGTGACATTTATACACATCACGTATTTAGTTGTATATCGTTTTAAATCGCCGTACGCTGATTATAATTTATAACTCTTAATATATTTATAATTTTGGCCGGTTTATCAATTTTTGCTTATCCAGTAAGGTTGATATTAATATTTATGACGCTATATTACAGTATAAAAAGTTATGAAAAAATTATTTTGTGGTGCGAGGTACATTTCACACACACAAAAAAAACGTTATTACTTAAAACACCCTGCATAGTTCGAACAGAGAGCACGTTTTAAAATAAATTTTAATTTCGCCCATTTAAGGTATTATGTACTACTGGTGTTTTTAACGTCTAAACAATTAGCAACGTGCAATTAAGAAAAAAATTTAATATTTTTTTTTACAGTTGAACTTTAAAAAAAGTAAGCTACATATAAGGGCCGGTATGCAATTAAGACATTAGGTACTCATTTGATATAGTTGCTTGTATATTATAAGTAACTGTAATGTATAGTGACGACATAATATAGATAGTTCCTAATTTATGATAATATTAAAGGCTATATTGTAGGTAGGTAATTATAAAGCACCTATCGATTATCGGTTACTAATATACTTGACATTAAACAGAATTCAGAAACACTGGAAAGTTTTTGCAAGTTGTCAACGATAATGCGGTGATGGCTTTGTAAAAGCTCTCAATTATCCCGATGTGAATGCATGTCATTAAATGTATTTGTGAGTGTTATGACAATATTTTACGGCTTAATACGTTGTACACTGCAGTGCCAGCTTTTACGAAGGGTTTTAATAGCTTACATGTACCTCGACATACTCGCCCCGAGCCAAACATTTTGAATTAGATAATTTGCCGTTTTTTATTTAGTACGCAAATTACTGCAGGTATGTAAATTAATACGAAGTTATTAATATTTCAAAAAGCCGCACGAAACGTATAATTATTAATTACTGTTATTATAAATACCTACCTACGTATAAATTAACCTGAACCACTTACATCGCAATATTATTTAATGTTATACGGAGATTTATGTTTATTCTATTTGGATTAAAATACAATTCATTAAGATGTCCAATTTTTTCCAGACGTCGATGCACCTTTTTACAAAAACCACACAAGTGCAGTATACTCACTGCAGTCGGTTTTTGATTTCTTATAAACTATTTAAAATATAATGCCTTGGTACTCAAATGAAAAAATGATCAAAGTCGAATTTGTAATTTTTAAATTGGTTCTATTGGTTTCGTGATGAATAAACCACAAGGTTTTTTTTATCGATGTGTATCTACTTGCCCCCAAATAATTTGCTTGCCTATAAATTAAAATAAGTATTTGTATCGAACTATCGTACAAGCGTAAAAGCACTATTATGTTAATTTTAAAAAGATCAAAAAGTGGATAATTTTGAATGGTTTTTGGTATTAATGAGACCTCTTCTATACTGCAGAAAAACCTCGAACGTAGTTACTTAATCTCTTATTCAATTTCAAATGTGGAAATGGGGCGTAGTAACCAACAATGTTTTTTTCCATTTCCACGAACTTATAGCCTCTTGTAACGAATCGACTCGTATAATGCGTATACCTACGTGTTAAAATCGATTTCAATTATTACCAAATTTTATAGATGTATTACAATATTAAACGGCCACGAGATAAAATGGTTTGGAGCTATAAAATAAAACACGTCAGCCATTTCGTTTGGCTTATAACTTTCCATGGCCGTTTTTTTACCACATTCAGATGGATTTTTTTATTCCACCACCATTGTTAACTTATACAGTCCATATACCATCGTGATACGACCTGCCGTCATTTCCATCATATAGGTCCGCAGCAACAATGGCGGCGTGCCTACCAACAGCAATAACACCATCGTCATTACTCGCTTTTTTGGGGATCACCGATTAATATTTTTGTAGGGGTCATGCATTACAAGTTCAGGAAGTTTTCGGAGGTCATTGGAATTCAATGTGCAAAATATTCAACCAAAAATTGTATAGGAAAAATAAACAGTAATAATGAACCAGGTTAAATCCACCACAAATATAATAATTAAAAATATAAATGTTCTGCAGCGGCCCAGATGAAATTAGTCCATTGTTCGCTACATTTGATGGCGACTCCTGCACTATTCATACCACATAACACAGTAATATAACTTAATAGGAACCAGATTTAATTGTATTTAAATCACATAAAGATTGAACAGTAGAATTTTATAATAACACTAAAATCGCCAAATAAAATGCACTTTAAAAATGAAAAAATTATTTTTAAAAAGGTTGAATTTCTCTGTTATAAATTATAATAAAACTAAAATAAATTATATATTTTTATTATTATTATTAGAGTTATTTTTTGAACTAAAATTAATCATTAAATACTTTTCCAAATGAAGTTTCTTTTCTTTATAATTATATCTTTTATTATTTTTACGGTTTTTCTACAATGATAACATCATCTTTTAAACTTTCGACTGGCAACTACATTTTAACATTTTTAAAAATTATTTGGTTAGAAAAGTGCAGCATTTAACCAAGTTGTTTCTCGTATCTTTTGTTAAATGGCTCTTAGGGTAGAGGTACACCGGTATAAATGGTATAGGAGACAATATTAATAATATATATAATACATACAATAATATATATTCTATACATAAATTATAATTTAAAGGCAATAGATTTACGATTTACGATAAACACCCACTGATTTTTGGAATGATAAGAATAATTGTCATCAAAATAATGGCTTTATGGTATGACTACAGATTATCGAATTCGTTTCTTAATAATAGCGTTTTATACAATAAAATGAGGTAAATAGAATATTATTTTCATTTTAATACATATAGAAACATCACATAACTGTAAAAAATTACAATATAAAAAGAAATAATCAGAATTTAATATTATAATTTTTTATAATATTTATTCAGTTATGTATATTATTGTACTTGATGATCAGGTTTGAGTCATTTTGTTTTCAAAAAAAGTTATAAATGGAGATGTCTGATTTTCATTTTAGTGCAACAATTAGAGACATCTCCGAGTTTTATTTTTTGGTTTTGAGATTATATACAAATTTGATTTTGACCATACGCCTAACTGGCTCGTGACTACTACTTTTACGAATTGAAGTTTGGTCTAAATACATTTTTGATTAATTTTTAAAACATTTTTAATTGCCTCATGAAAAATGTTATTTATTGGAGTTGTCTTGCTGTTTATCTCAGGTCTTCAATTATTAACAATACATATAATATAATTACAATATTATAACGCAGTTTGAAATGTTCGAATCGTTTTCTTGTTACAGGCGTGATCGGCGGCGCAGAACAAGCAGCGGCGTCAGACGATGGCCGCGTACGGCGTGTACGGTAACGGCAATTGCGGCGGTGACGTTTACGCGCACGGTGACGACACCGATCTATATCACCAAGTGGTGGTGCTCTCGAAACCGGACGGCTCGTGCGTGCGGAGCCAGGCCAACGGTAGCGGTGCCGGCGGCGGCCCAGGTGGTGTCGGCGGCGGCCTGGGCGTCGGCGGCGGCGGTGGCGTCATCGCAGAAACGGTCAACGGACGGTACAACGGCGAACACCCGCACCAACAGCAGCCGTATGACTCTGCGCGCGGCGGCGGCACCGGTGCCAGCGGTGGGGGCGTCGGTGGCCAGCGCCGTCACCGCCGGTCGTTCTGGTGCCGGACCACGACGTTGGCCACCATCAGCGCTTTGCTGGCCACGATGTTTTGCGTGACATGCGTTGTTTTCATCTACTACAACTGTGAGTGCAAAACACATCATAATATCTTAATGTTATTGTTAGGAACGGGCTGGTACCGGTTCTAGGTTTTTCGGTTCCATCATCGGTTCTTTGAGAACCTGATGGCCTGATAATTTATTGTTTGATTTATTTCCTTGATTTGGGGTACACTGATAATACTCTGTTTATTATATTGTCATCGTGTGGTACCGATCGTATGTATCGCACATAAATAATTTTAAAAAAAGTAAACGTTATTGTTGTCGCATTGTATATTCTCGCTAAGACGTAATTATTGTAATCAATAACTTAAAAAGTTTCGGACGCGATTTATTAATAAATGTATGATGACTTTGAAGATTATGTGGCATTGATCATCATCTTGGTTCTAGCGTACGGCCATCGCCGTAGTTCGGAAACCTAGACCTTTGATATTATAGAACTTCTTATTGAAGTGATGTCGTTGATGTACCTACGCTGCAAAGCGTGTTCCATAAAATACGATCGGGACGTGCATGGTTTTGTACGTGTCGGTCATTAGGTCGTTGGACACTTGATGACATAATAATATTAAATTGCAAACGACCGACGACCGTGTTGTACGTTTTCGTATAATGATATTTGTGTGGAAAAAATATTTCGAAAACTTACCCATCTCGCCGGGTCGACCGAAGCCCCTTGACCGAATGATTTGTATGAGTATATCCTTGACTTAGGTACTGTATAAGTACCTATGTTAGGTAGGTAACCTTCTATGGTATACTGTTGGGCGATAAAATAAAAGCCAAATACGTTGTGGAAATAATAATATTATATAAACGCGATGAAAACTATAGTGTCCGAGTGCAGATAGTATAATATTATCATTATCATAAATCATATTATTAGGCATAGATTTTCACGGTATACATATTATAGTACATAAACTGCGTAATATGTGTATATGCACATGATATATTATTATACGTCGAATATACATAATTTATACATTTACAACAACGTACTGTCACGACCGCGGGTAGGCAGAGTTATTAAAATCTATGACAGCCGGACTGATAGACATTATTGTGTAGACATATTATTTGAACATATTGGTTTTATTAGGTAGGTGCTTACATAAAAAACAATAAGACAAGCCGAGAGAGAATGCAATGAGTTACGGCCGGTGACGATACGAAAGGTATTAGTGCTTATGCGTGCGGATGAGCGACGGAGTCAAAGGAGATATTTTATCACCTTAGATAAAACAAAAACATTTTTCGGAAATATTATCTCATGGTCTTACGCACATCGATTATGTTATATAACGACTATAATATATATTGTAATGCCTAAAATAGAAGTTTACCGAATGCAGGGTGACTATTTTAACGCTGAACACCACCATTATCCCAGATACTTATTGTTTTCGAAATTTTTTTTTTCTGTGACCATTACTAGCTCTTAAATATTTAGACTGTATAGGTACATAAAATCATTAAACAATATTAAGCCTGATATTTCTACAAAAATCAAAACTTCTGTAATTTTAATCAGAGCGATTTTTCTGGTTTTTTAATTTTAATTTACACAAAAGAAAGAGGGTAGGAGATTGGCGAGCAGCAGACTTTGAAATAATTGTATTACGTTTTACTTTTATCTTTCGTTTAAACTTAAAACGGAAAATCTGAAGAATTACATGGTAAAAATATAGCGGCTTTAGTGCCTATCAATATTTATTTAAAATATAATGAATACTGCATAAAAATTTACTGGGTGACTTGGTGTTGAATTAAAAAAAACTTTCGGTACCTATACAAAAATATACAGACGGAAAGTGTTGTCATTTAAAAATTTTTGTCCTTCAGTGCTGTATATTATGGGGGTAAAAACTGGATTAAAAACAACAGTTTAAGTAAGTATAATATATATGGTTATATTATAATATATATTATGATTATTATTCATACAATACCAGTGTATTGAAAGATGGGACTGGACCACTGTCGAAATTATATTCTCTGACACCCTAGAAATTATAACAGGGGTTCACCAATATTTTGAATACAGTTGGTTTAGGAGAAAAGAAAATATATGAGGGATAATATATACCTATATTCTTGTCGTAAATACACTGCTGTAATGCATAGTTAAAATTATTTAGGGAATAAAAACACATTTTTGGATTAAAAATATCGTGACATACCCAACCCATATAGGAATTTCCATTATATAACACCTTACACCATAGGCACCACATCATAATAATATTATACTCCGAGTCTCAGCACTATTGTGGTTAAAATTATGCACCCTCACATTATTGTGAGAGATAAATTTAATTGATTTTGACCACTTTAGTATTCTGTAAACTATGGTAGTCTATATTAAAATCCAACAAATACCATTTTACACTAAGTGGAAATGATGTGCCAATGCTAGTGTGAAATTTACTAATAGATACATTCTATTCCACGAAAATCGGTAACAGCTAACGTGCAAAGTCATACGAATTTCTAAGAAATTATTATATTTTCATTTAATGTCATAATAGTTTGCTCGTAAACAAGGATACAATGTAGTTATGACATATACAGTACCCGTTAAATATGTGTACCTACAACAGAATGCTACTCATATTTTCCACGCTGCTAAAAAAACGGGTTATAAAAAATAAATTTGTAATATAATAAATATAGCATAATATTATGTCCCATAAATTGATATATCTCCATTCTCCACTGTATCTATTACGATAATTTTTTACTTTTATCGTCCGTTATACATTATCATTGACCTTTGAACAATGATTATACAATTTCCACGACAATTTTTGTTTAGAGTGCACTTAACACAAATGTGTGACTTCGTGTCCAGCATCATGGTTTTACATTTATTTTTTATTATTTTTGACCTAGAAAGAGACAGAGGGTGTAATATAGTTATCTGCATTTTTGGCGAAGTTATGCTTAAATAAATTATTTTGAATACAGCACGTTTTTCATAGGTGTTATAAGTGATTTCAGAAGTTTTTCACTCACAGTGTAACTTTTCTGAAACGAAATTTTATTTTTTTATTTAATGCTGAACCGTAAACATCAGAGGTATTATCGTAGGAATAAGCATTTTATCGGGTTGTCGTGTCACGCAGCCATATTTCTGGTGTAAGCGGGTTAACCCACATAAATGCATTCACTGTTTTACGATACTGCCACTGGCAATAAAAATATTATACTGTATAGACCTCATAATATTTATGTTTTTCAACCATTCGCGGGACATTCGGCGACAGGATAACGACGCGACACAGTTCGGAATGTCGATAGTCCGGATCGAACGATGTTGGGAAGATAATAACGGGTGATACAATTTAGTATAGAATATTTTATGCATCGTTGTCACATTCACATTGCAGAAAATCTCGAATTTATCATTTTTACGTATTATAACACCAATTATTATGATATCAAACTAAACGAGCAGAGAAGTTTTAAACAAAATTGATCTTAAATGCGGAGAGCCTAGACTTATGGACAATATTGTTATGTATCAATTAATTAGCAATACATATTAGTTTTATTTGTAAATTTGTAATGTACTGACTGTTAAAAACATGACGTTTTATACATTCAGCGTTGGAGAAAAATATAAAATAATTAAAAAAAGTGACAGTTATAGAATTATTATAGAAATAATTCAGTTTATGTAGTGTTTGATCAGTAATCACCTATATAGCCACATCACATAATAGTGCGTTAATAAAAGTTTCAGTTAGTTTTTGTAATATGTACGTAAATAATAAAACAATATTTTTATCGGAAACTTTTAACTCTAACATTATTTTGAATTAATATAAATATTTAAATAAAAATTTTTTACATTGTAGTTAAAAATTGAAAACGGCAACATCTCAAAGTTTTTTATGCTCGATCATTTAGGTTTTCATTTATATTTCTATATTCGTTAATACATGGCCAAATTTGTTCATTTGTACCTTAAAAAAAGGTGTTCTTATGCTCAATCGTGTTGTAGCAAACTATGTAATGGTAGGTACTATACCTACCTATTATGACAATAAATAACAAAATTGCGACAATTGGTTGTATATTTTACTTTTATTTATAACCTATAAATATTATTATTGCTCGAATCGAAATTGAAACAAGACAGCAGCTTCGGGTGGGCTGCAGCAGCCACGATCGGAGTTAGATTTACATAATATAATATACGTACCTAGGTATACACACCCGCCGCTCCCGTCTGAACGCAAAGCAGAACTAACACTCGTCCCGTATATTACAATAATTAATACGGACTTGTGGACAGCGAGTAACGCCCCGCGTACAAGCGTCTTCCGCACACGAAAATATTCACAACCCCCTCCCTTTAAATTGGCGGCGATATGGCTGAGGGATGTCAGGAGGGTTGTGGTGCCCCGGGAGATTATTATTCCGGTACATATAGTTTTGACATTGAGTTGGCACCGAACCCAAGCATAGATTAACGTATAATACCTACATAATATACTCGTATATTATAAAAGGCGCAAAGTAGATGTTTGTCTAAGAGCTCCAAAATGTTGTCTCGTGAGAGGAGTGGTATAACTCAACTAGTATTTACAAGTTGGCGTATTATTTCAGAAAAACAAAAATATGAAAAATAGTGCAAAGAAAAATGATGTTGCATTTTAGGCGGATCGTTGAGGCGGCAAGCGCCACTAAAATAATATATTGTTTTTCAAGAAAAATATTTTATCATGTTGAACCAGTTTTGGTCGTACCCATCATTTCAATCAGTATTCCCGAATAAATCGATCGGTTTGGCCCATGCGCATAGCTCGAAACAGGCCGTAAACCAATACAAAATATATCAAAAGAGTGAATGAGAGGAGTGAGAGGAATTTTTTTCTTATGGAAAGCTTAGTCATTACATCTTAATATCACAACTTGTTTTCATAAGACAATGGACACTCTGTTCACTGTTTAGGGTCCTGACGGCGCTACATGATAATATTATTATTATCGTTTTCAGCATGTGGGTCA